TCTCTCTCTCTCTCTCTCTCTCTCTCTCTCTCTCTCTCTCTCTCTCCTTCATCTAAAGAACTCTAAAAATTAAATCTCTTAACAAGTTTAATGGGAGTTCTTTCACATGGGGCAATGCATAACTGCCTTCTCATAGTGTGCAGTTCTTGTCCATGCCCCCCCCACTAATCTTTTAATATTAGATCTATTTAAAATTTGGTTGGTTTTCTGTAGGTCTTTTTCCATGCATTGATACCAGTGTAGTACTTGAGCTGTCCATCAGGTTAATTTTATCTCCAACTTACATAATTGTCTCAACTCCTACCATCCATTCAACTAAGTATCTCACATAATGAGTACAAATAAATGCAGCATATTTCCAATAGTGCATCTCTTCACTGGGGAGACATCAATAATGGATTCTGATTAGGAGAAGACAAAATTGTTGAAAACAAGAAAACAGTAACATCTTTCTTTACTTTTTTTTCTGTAATTCAATGGGCTATTAAAGAGTATTTGTTTATCTCTTCTTAATAATTTGTGGGTATAAATAGACTATATTTCAATTCTGCCTTGGAAGAGTATGCATGTAGTCAGGGTCAACAAAGAAATTGTCCTGGTCATTGTACTTTATTTTTTTGCACCTAGTATTTATACTGTATTAAAAGTAAAGATACATATGTGTGTATATACAAATTGTGTATGTGTACACACACACAAATCCAAATAAATTAGGAATGGTAGTAGAAATGGAAAAGGGAGTTTTAGTACACATAAAACTGACTTCATTGGTTCCCACATAGTAGCTACTTTGAAAGTTCAACATATCTGGGTTACTGTGACCTATACCAACAAGAAGATAGAAATATATATGCCTTATTCAATTTTATTTATCAACAATATTTCAGTCTCTTCACACAAACAAGACCTACAATCATTCTGTATTAAAAGCCTGCAAGTGAAGACTTTGATACATGATCTTTTTAAATTTAAACATAATTTACACTGAAAAAAATTGGTTGTAGAGGTCATTGTTTCTATAGGAATGATATCTTCTTAATAAAAGAAATTCACTAAATTAAAAAACAATTAGCTTAGTGGTAGATTTTTTTTTCTTTCTCTAGTGAAAGTTGTAGAATATTAAAAAAAAAACAACCTATTAAGGAGTGGTAGTGGTGGAGGAGAAGGCTTATTTAAGAAGAAGAATTTTTTGGTACCATAAAAAAATACACTCTAATATTATCAATTTCATATATTGTTTTCAACTCATGATTGAATATATTAATATTAGTTTGGGAATAAAAATATCATAACTGTTGACTATTATGTAATTGAATTTTGGGTTGACCATTCACCAAAATCATTTATATTCAGAAGAAAAATATTAAATATAACAAGGCAGTTCCAAAATGACTGAACCTCACTGGTTTTATACAAAAATTAATCACAAACCAAACAAGTTATCATGGAAGAAACCTTTTTTACTTTTATGTCACGTAATAGGTTAATGATTCACTGGCTTCAGTGATAAA